CTCAAGCTATCTTCTCCCTGGCATTGTTACCTGTTACTTGATTGACAGTACCTGAGTAAGTATTTTTTACCAGTTTAGATGCCAGGTGTTAATCAGCCTGCTCCTGCAGAGGAGGTCAAAGTTACTGAGCTGAAGAAGAGGAATATGGACAGACTATTGGCTTTCCAGGCTTGCAGCTGGTAGGATAGATGTGGAAAAGCTGCAACTGGTTTCAGGGAGCAGCTATTTAGCAGTGCCCACTGCTCCAGTGTGCTTTCCCATAGTAGATCACCGTAGATCACTTTGCTGTGATAATTATTTGATTATTATCCTCTGATTCAGAAAAGAGCTGAGTGTAGCAATCTTTTTCTTAAATGGTACACTTTCCTTCCTCCCTTCTCTTAGATAGTATCCCTCCTTCCTTCCTGCCGGCCTGCCTTCCTGCCTCCCTCCCTCTCTTTGTTTTCCGCAAGACTTCTGAGAATTTTATTCCCAAATAACTTGCTTTGCTGGCTAAGTTTGCTGAACTTACCCTCAGCCCACTTGAGAGGATGGGGAAAGCAGCTGTTTGCTCCTTTCCCACAGTGAGTACTACTGTAAGGGTTACTCAACTGTGGGAAAACTGGAGCACAAAGACAGCACCTGTAGAGAGAGCCTCATAAATTTGAGAACATACAGCCATCCACATCACCTTAGAACAAAGGACTGGCAAGTACTCTGTAAGGAGAGTATATAAGATGACTGGTGAAAATGCATTTTCACATTTTCCAAAGTATTTACAATTTTATGAAAGCATATAATCTTCCCACCTGATCATTCCTTTTCCAAAGTGAAGAATCATAGTCACTGTCTCTCCAATGTTCCCATCAGTGTTGACATCTTTCTACATAACCTTTCTACTTGCACAGGCCAGAGCTGTGGAGAGCACATGGTTTGTGAGCCTGGCACAATGATTTCTGTTTTGCTCTCAATTGATCCTGATCATTCCTAATGATCAGGCCTTTTGTGGCCACCATCCAGCACTGACTTGACATTTGGAGACAATTACTTGCTGTCTGGTAGCCTCTTAACCCCATTTACTTGCTGTCTGGTACCTCTTAACCCCAATTCTCCTTTCAGAGACTGGATTTCTGTAGGGTTTGGCCTATACAGCTCAGAGGCACCGAATAGGCAGAGGAGCTGACCTTTGGTTGCAGCCACACAAAGGGTTTTTTTGGCTGGTGTTGCACGGCCTGCCTTACAAGGATGATGTGGTAAGCAGCTTTCAGCAACATGACAGTGCGTGAGACTCAAGCAGCTCAAAGCAGCAAGCAGAGCTGCAGAGAGACAGGTAAAGAGGCCACCTGTTGTATAGGGATGACCAGCTGTAAGCTATCAGAGGTGCACCATTACTCAGGCTCTTCATGCAAACATCAGCAGAAGAGATCTGGGCAGCAGCCACTGCCAAGGAGGTGACATTCAGGATGCCCTTTCTGTCACCCACCAAAGCAGCTGAGGGGCTCCAGTTACAGAGCAGGGGAGTGGGGTGGGCAGGCTATGAGGCCTCCGGGAAAGACAGAGAAGAAAGAGAGCAAGTGGCAAAAGGGGGAGGGAAGGAAAATTAGGATTAGGTACATAATATTAGAACTAGCAACAACTGCATCCTAAAAAAGAGAGCAATGAAGTGATATCTTCCTTTGCTGACACTCATCTTAGACAGATGCACAAATCCCACTTCTGGGCAGGTTTCAGTGCTGTAAGTGGAAATATACTGATACTGGAATTTGTATAATCCTGTTCTCCTTAAATGTTAGACTTTTCAAGGTTAGAACACTGTAAGATCTTCTGAGTGCCATGGTCACAGCAGCGCAGTTACCTATTTAGCAGAATATTTTCTAAACTAACTTCCTATGTTGCAAAAAAGTTCCTTTTGCATCTTCAGGAAATTTGCCAACAGACTCATTTTATTAATGGTGATCAACATAAACATTTCCTTAACTGCTCTCTGTATCCACCTGACAGACAGAGGGAAGCATACAAGTTTCTGCTCCCTCTGGACTGCAAATTAGCTGCACAAAGCAGACCAGCTCCGTCAGAAGACAGTGATGGTGATGTGCCACCAGACAGCCAGCAGCCAGGGTGCCCCCATGTGAACAGCTGGTGATGAGCAGCTGGGGGGGGTCTGGCAATGCTTACATTCTCCGTTCTGTGGTAATTACCTGCTCACCTCACTTTAAGTCTTCTAAGGACAGATGTTTCTCTTTGAGTGTCTTGTCACAAAGTACTTGAGAAGGTCTGAGTTTATGCCAAAGGAGAAGCGAATACTGAGCCCAAAGGAAGAGAGAAAGTTGTTTAACATCTCAAACAGGACCATGGCCTGAGAAAATGTATCCCAAATCTGCCGCATAGAATCAGAGAACCACAGAATGGCCTGGGTTGACAAGGACCTCAAGGATCATCTAATTTCAACCCTCTTGCCATTGGCAGGGTCACCAACCAACAGACCAGGCTGCCCAGAGCATCTCAAGGTGCAGTGCCAAATTCACTCAATTACCGCTTTGTCGAACATTACAGGTGTATGTTCCCTTCCTTCCAAGTTAGTCCCTCAGATTCCTCAAAGTGCCCTGCTGCTGAAGTTGACCAATGCCTTCCCAGTTGTAGGGTCTCAAAGCAGAGCCATCCCCTGACCCTGCACTGCTCTCTGCCTCGTGTATTTGCTAAGCCTGCAGCTTGCCCCTTAATGCTTCAGTTCCAAACCCTCCATGTACACTGAACTGTATTTCTCCAAGCAGCACTGTGTGGACCTCAGGGAGCTGCTGGCATGTGGAGATGGTGGTGCCCACTCTGCTGGAGCTGTAAGAGCAGTGCTCTGAAGCCTTAACAGCAAAACTTGTGTCCTGTGTGATTTCCTTCTCTCCTGGGGCTCCTTACTGTGAACTACTGAACGTGGCTTTACTGATAGAGTGTCTGAAGGGGAATGTTTTCAATCATTTGTTCTGCTAGAACTGAACTGCTACTGTTGAGCTCAGGAGGTCTCCTGCAGTCCGCACAGTCCACACAGGACAGCAGTTCTATATAAGCCCATCAGCTGCATCTATTTTAAACTTTCTCTCAGAGGTCCTTGTTTATGGCCACTATGAACTGATGTTTTTCTCAAGACCTTTGCACAAGCCCTGGTCAGATGACAGGCATCCTGACTCCATAAATAGAGTGAGAATGCAAAATGACCCTCGTTCTCCATAAAGCAGTGAGCAATACATCTTCCATTTCCCTCACATCAGTGTCCCACTTTGGTCCTGATCATACAGCAGGCTTTATAGCAGTGTCTGTCTTTTTTTTTTTCCCAGCCTCTGCTCCTCCTGCACACATCCTCCTTGGCTCAAATCACTGATTTGGTCCTTTCCCCATTACATACCTAAACTCTCCTTCCTGGCATCCCTCAAAGCTGCTCAGCCTCTGCTCCATCCTCCTCCTCCACTGTGTTTGTTGTTTTCCTTCTTGACCTATTCTTCAACTGCCAAAAAACCCACATGCAAAGGAGGTAGCCACAAGCTGGGCTTCCTCTTCACTCCACATGGCCTAGGCAAGCCAAAAGGTCAGACACCCATGGGTTAGATGGTCATATGCAGATAATCATTTTAGTGCTTACCAATAATTTATCTTCCTGTTTCCTCTGACCATTCTTCCCTCAACCTGATGCTCACTTGTCATTTCTCCCACTCCCACATCCTCCACCATCTTCTCGCTCTGCCCTCTTCCTCCACACACTCACATTTTGCTCTCCTTGTCCTCGTCTCCTCCCTGCTCTCCCCAGCACAATTTCAAACTCCCATCAGCACTTCAGCACTGTGGTTACTCATACTTTGTCTCTCTTGTTTTCCAGTTCATTAATTTTTTCAACAAGAGCCGCATTACGGTGCATTTCGTGGCTCATATCACATGTCAAGCGCTGGGGCCCCAATTCAGTGTTGGATGTCAGCATGGCCTGCTCTTGCTCCACCCGGCTGAGAGAGGCATGGCTCTCAGCAGTGCTGCCAGCCTTGAAGAAAGCTTGGAGCAAGTGCTGCTGCCTTCCTCATGATGGGAAGGGATTCATGGATTTGGGTTCTCATTCTGAGCAGCAAGAAGTGAGCTTTCACATCCACAGACTTTGCTTCTCATTGTCGATGTCAAGAGAAGCGATGCCAACAGGCACCCCAAGCTGAACACCAACAGCAGCTGTGCAGCAGCCGTGCTCCTGGTGGCACAGCACATCCCAGCAGAGCAGGGCAAGCACCCAGGGGCTGCGTTCACACACTGCCATTTCCACTGGCTTCAGAGGGGCCCCTCCGGCCGGCTTCTGACTGTTCACATTTCAGCTGAGAAAGGAGCTGTGCCGGACGGAGCAAGACTTTCTGGGACAAGAATAGCATCTGCCATCTTAGGACACAGCACAGTTGTCCAGCTCCTGCACGGCAGCACGCCGCAGTGAGATATAGAAGGCAAGCTACCCGCTGAGGAATGTCTTCGAGTGCTATTCATGGAGGCGTATCATCTACAGCAGCAGGCCCGGCCCCACGCAGGAGCCTTGCGAGGGGGGTTATTTTGAGCTTTGGGCGCTGAGGATTGAAGGGAGACAAATGACAGTCATCCTCCTGGCACAGGCAACTGCAGAGCTCTGTGCACAAGCCCCGCAGCCTGTCAGCGCTTCTGGGGATGACGCTTGTGAAGCTGCTGGGCGATGCGGTGGGACCTGAGAGCCCAGGAGATGGGAGCCAGGAGGGAGCTGAGAATTTGCTGGGGACGCGAGGGCAGGCCTCAGGCCCGCCTGTCCCAGACTCAGGCACTCCTCTGCCAGCTTTGTTTTGACCGCATCCCTGGGAGCATCGGCAGGTAACTTTGTGCAGGTGCACACTGTGATCAGAGGAGACACAGTTAGACTGACAACTTGATAGCTGCTTCATCTTCAGAGAGTTACCTTCCCTTTCATTTTGTGCTTTTGGTGCTCTCTCTTTTTTATGTTTTAATAAAAAATACTTTAAAAAAAAGTTTTATTGCTTATATATATTAAATAAATTGCGTAAATGGTTAAAGCAAACAGATATCAGGCTCTTTTACCTTTGAGTTTAAATGACAGGAAGACTTGAGGAAGAACTGGTATGCAAAAGGAGAAGACGGCTGAGATGAACTTGCCAGAGGGATGAGAGTTCAGAATCATGTGGGAGGAGGGAAGGCAGAATGTTCTGGTTTCATCTGGGATGAAGTTAATTTTCTTCCTGGTAGCTGGTAAGGTGCTGCTTTATGGATTTAGGATGAAAATAACATTGATAACTGAAGTTTTAGTTATTGAGGAACAGGAAAGAATGGAGTAGTGTGGGACAGTGGAAGGTTTGGGACAGATATGCATGAATATCTCCAAAGGGGAGACTCCAAAACATCTCTGGGTATCTGTGCCAGTGTTCAGCCTCCCGCGCAGCACAGCAGTGCTCTCTGATGGTCAGACAGAACTGTCTGGGTTTCCGTTTATGCCCTGTGCCTCTTGTTCAGTCACTGGCACCACCGGGCTCTGTTCTTTTGCACTCTCCCCTCAAGTATTTATAGACACTGATGAAATCTCCCCAGGATAAAGGGAACAGTTAGTAACGAAACAAGAGTAATGGTGTGGTGGTGAAACTTAAACACTGGAGACAGGGAATCTTGAGGAACAGGCAGCAAGCCATGCAGTGTGAACATGAAAAGCTGTAAACACATCAGTATCTGAAAAACAACCATGCTTTTGTCAGTAGGAGCACTTCTCCCACCCACTGGCTCCCAGATGCAAGCAACAAATGGGCAAATAGGATGCAAAATGCAGGAGAGCAGAGACAAACCCTGTGGAGCACAACTACTTCTGAAGCGCGAGGAGCTGTCATTCCTCACACCTTGGTATCCCCAGCAGCGTCCAGCAGTGAGCTGACAGATTATTTGATCCTCAGGTGCACCCTGTGAGAATATTTGAGTAAGAGATTGAAACACCACAGGGCATGTGGTGGGACTGTGACGGAGTTGCAGCTCAGCAATCGTGTGCAACCGTACACTGTACAGCCTGATGCTGTGCCAGCTTCTTCATTATAGCACCAAGAATTAACACTCTGACTAAATGGTAAATAATTCCTTTTTTTATTCCTAGTTTCACTCATGCTCATTGCTCTCAGCTCATGTTGAGAAATTGGAGCGTGTGCCTCCAGCATTCTCAGACAGCATCCCCCAGATCTATCTGCATTTGAGGAGAGGCTGCTGGGCAGTGACATTGGCAGCCTCGGTGGTTTGTATTTGTTGTGTCTCTCACTGCCAATCAGCCCCTGCTCTTATTGCTTTTTGAGAGTGGCTGAAGCTAATAGAAGACACTTCATATTTTGAGGCCAATGTCTGTCACTGATACTGACCACAGTCACAAGCTGGTAAGTGTCCCTCTGCAATGCTTTTCAGCTTCGTACCTTCATCCAGGATTCCTTCTTCTTGGCCAGCTCTCCATTGAGTGCTCAGCACTGGATGACACGCTTTGTGTTCAGTCTTCCCTGCACCCAATTGTCCACTGCTGAAAGGAAGCATGGAGCAAAGCTTTATACACCTGCTTTGTTGGAGATAAAGGTCAAAGGGACAGATCTACTTATGTGATTAGGACTGACTGACTTTCACACCCTGCAAAGGGAAGAAGAACTGCTGCAGAGAAGAGGTAGGGAAGCAGCAACCCAGTGTCATAGAAGGGGAGAACCAAAAAGCTTGCGAGCAAAGCCAAAGAGATGCATGCTCTTTCCCTCCTCCTCTCTTCCACTCCTGTGCTCCACTTTTTTGTCCATTTTTCCACCCTCTGCTTCCCTCTTTATCACTCTTCACCTTATTTATTGCTGTTTAATACAGGACAGAACTTAATTCTGAAACCATGTATTTTGGGGAAAATGTTCCTTCCAGATCTGTTCTGAACAGAGTTGCCTCAAGCCACATGCTGGTCTGCAAACCAGGCAGTACGTCCTACCTAACTGCACCCACCTTTTGCCGTGGTTCCTCTTATGATGTTCAACTTCATGCTTAGACCAGAAATGCAGATATTGTGCCATACCATTATAGCACAGCAATTTAAAAATAAAAGCCAATTTCAGGAGACAGGGAAAGCAGTCAAGAGCAGATTTTGCATCACCTAGAAACAAGGTAGGCATGCCTAATTCCACAGTACAATAACTGGGAGCCTGAGTAGAAAATCTGCAAGATGACACAGAACGAGGCGCTGAGGTAGTGCACTGCAGAAGGTGGCTTAAGGCAAGTGAGCCCCTAGGAGGTAAGAGCAGCATTTGGCAGGAGTCAGCATGAACTGATAGGCGTTGTCAGAGATGGAGAAGATGTGTGGAGGGGCCTCCTGGCGCTTTTTGCCTCGGTAGGCCAACATCACCTCCGGGTTGTACACCGGCAGCCACTTGTAGGGGTTGACAGTGACACAGAAGAGGCCCGAGTAGGTCTGTAAGAAAAAAACAGAAGAGAAGTCATGGAAGCCCCTCTCCCTGGCAGCTGATTTTTCTCCCTTGCAATGAAGAGAAACATACACAGATCATCTGAGAGCAGCAGTAGCCCTCGGGGCTGTGGAGAACAGCAGATTCATGCAGGTGTGTCAGTATGGCCACATCCTCAACTCTGTCAACCAGGTGGGTTCACTGCAAATAAACCATCAGATTTGACAGCAATCAACCACAACTCAGAAGGAAAGGGTCAACTTTGATTCTGAAGTTCTCAGTGTCCATTCCATGTGCACAGATGCTGACAGGATCAGAGAACTAATAACACCTGTAATGTGTTTCAGGATTTTCTTCTTGTTTAATAAGACACAGCCATCACAGGGCAGACATTGGTGCCATCTGGTAACTCTGTAGTGCTGGCAGATAGGATGTAAGTCCTGGAATCGTTAAAGCCACATAGCCAGAATTCACGCCAGACCAGAGGACCAGACCTTTCTATGTGTTACTGCTGCTGGTGGCTGCAACGCCCACGGGCACAACTGCTGCCTGCCTGACAACACCACAGAGGTAGGACACTGACAGCACGGCTTCATCTGCAGTGAATCTTTCGCTGGCACTCATTCTGCTCCTGGTTCCTGGACACAAGACAGCTCTCTCTTGCAGCAGCTCCATCTGCCGGGCTTGTGTCATGCTGTCCCGCCTGCAGATATGCATGCAGGCAGGGCAGACGTGCAGGAAAACAGATGTGCACAGGTGGCAGCAGCCAGCTGCGCCACACGGAACCAGGGAGGAGCTTGAAAATCCTGCTGCCATTTTCCCAACCTGCTTCCCTCCTTGCTTCTATCTGCAGATGAGGTGATTGCTGCTCCCGTGGCCTGCAAGCCAACAGTCCAACCCAGGGGGAAAATAACACTGGTGCTATCTGTCTGTTTCAGAAAGTTTAGTAGCTTCCAGGTTCAGTGAAGGTCCACTGAGCAATGGACCTGTCTTGGGCTTTTTTTGAGAAGGCGAGAATAAGGAATGTCGGTTTTGAAAGCAACCCTGTGATCTGCTTCCTTACATGCTCTCCTGAAGGGTTCAAACATGCAAGAAGTTGGGATTCACAGAAGGTCTCCATATAGAACAAGAGGTTGTGCCCGAACTGCTCCTCACGGGAAGTACCTGAGAGTCATACCGAGGGCTCCAAGGTAACGTTAGGCCAGTGCTCGGAAGAGAGCATAACTGACTGTGAGAGAAAGGGAGAAAGGAAGGAAGCATCACGTAGGATGTGTCAGTTCACTCACATCTCCATCACTAATTCTGCTTCTTGGAAAGGTCTCAGTTGTATGAGAAATTATGCAAAGAAAAACAAAGATGGCAACAAGCATGAAACTGGCATGAAAAATGAATCTATGAGAGCAAAACTTGATGGGATCTGGGGGTGAAAATGAGACATTAGAAGCCTGCAAAGTCCTGAATGGCAGAGAGCCATCCCTGCAGCTGTGCTGGTGAGGAATGATTCACTATTTCTGTATGAGCAAATACAACCTGAAATTACCAGGCTGCATAAAAGACAGGCTGAAGTTACCAGACTGCAAATTGCAGTGAATAGGAGGCACTTCACACCTATTACAATTACAAATGATTGAAATCTGGGTTGTGTGAGAGGAAAAAGCTCAAATGGGTACAAAAAAAGGCAAAGCCCAGGAAAGCAACACACAGGTCCTTGCACACCATCACCTGCTGCACTCTGCTGCCACGTACCTGTGGTTGCTGCACACTGGGTATGAAACAACAGATCACAGCTTTATTCTTTATTTTCTTAAGGTCTGGTAGGGATTACTGCCAGGACATTGGGTGAGGGGCTGCAGCTACTTCTACAGAATTTACCTGGACACAAGTTGTTAACATGTTTCAAGATTAAGATTAAGGCCGTTTCTTCAAGATAAAGACGGTGGAGGCTTCTAGAGGGAACAGACATGATGCCGATACGAGTTTCACATGCAAAGTAGCTGCAAGCTCTGTCACCAGTAAAGTGAGGAACTTAACAGAGGATATAATAGTATTAGAATAAAAGAATACAAACTGCAGCTGAGGAATGCTATGACCAGCAAGGCAACAGCCCAACCTGTTACAGAGCATTTTTATCTTAAAATCCTGCTGGGAACAATTATCCCATAGATACCTTCATCTCTGCATCCGGAGCAAAGCCTTCATCTGAAGGGCAGTCAGGCTCAGGAGGAAACCTGCCCTGCCCAGTGTAAGTGCTTCTGTGCTCCTTGCCATCCCTAGCAGGTGTCCTGGCCCCCAGCAGGGAAGGAAGGAGGGCAGGGAGGAACGCACACAATCTCCCAGCAGTTTCCTTCCCATCCTGCACAGCCATGATCTTTCCTATGGTGTGCTCTGCCTGGGGTTGGCCATGAAGCAGCAGGTCCTGGTATCTTGGCCGGTTCTGTGCCCGTTCTCTCCATCTCTGACTGGCACAGGCATGGTGCGGCCCTGCTGAGATGTGCCATGATGGACTGAGGGGAACATTTCCCTTTAAATCTGGCAGTCAGCTGTGCATTCATTACAGAATTTTGCTGCACATATACGAAAAGAGAGCAGTAGCCATTTCACAATGATTTGCCACTGAACAGCAATCTTTCAGGAACAGAAATCAATTTTTCAGTGTTTCTTTACTGGCTCTGCTAACAACTGACAATCGCAGTGCCAAGCAATCCACAGCCTACTCCCATTCGTTACATTTTTTGCACAGAGGTGTCCTTTACATCAGCTTCCACTATACGCAAAGCATCACATACACTCCCTTGTGAAAAACTGACAGTGGTTAGCGATCCCACAAGGGAATTTCAGTTCAGGAGGCCACTCACAGGGACGACAGGGACAAACCTCACCTGGGACTGTCCTCAGCTTTGGCACTTCAGTGACTGCTCCTGATGCAGATCCCCCACACTGCCAGAGAGAAGGTCCCCAGGCCATGAGTGTTCCTGATGGAGGTGACTGCATACTGCAAACAACAACCATCCATTCCTGAATGATCAGTTTAAGTAAAACTGGGTTTGAAACAAACAGATCCTCTCTCTCTAAACTCTGCAATCAAGCTGCTGCACTTTTAGCTTTGAAATGTCTCTTCCATTCCTTTCAGAAGAGTATATATTATGAACCTTTTCAGTCTGTAAAGATTCAAATGATAGTACCAAAATTAAGTTTTTCTTCCATGAGGTACCTTAGGCAACCAAGAGAAGCATAATCAGGCTTTAAAGAGGCAGTCTGAAGATTCCCTCTGATCATCCAAGACTCAGAGGCTTAACAGCACAAGGGGGAGCACTGGAGGAGCTGAGCATCCCCACACCTCCCAGCAGCATCTGTACCAGCACTGCTCACTGCTGCTTGTTAGCACATGGTGTGCAACCTTTGGGCTGGTCTGGGTTGCACTGAGAGAAGAGGAATTGTCTTGGGCTGCACAGAAAATATGTAGATTATGAAAGTAATGCCTCCTATTTATTCCCATGGAAGCTACCACAGCTACAAAGAGCACAACAACACTAATTGATAGAGCAATTTTGTTTTCTCAAAAACAAAATGTTTTGTTTTGTTTTTTTAATATGGTCACTATCATTAGCTGTGTTTTCACCAGCAATGAGCAAGAGCCTGCATGCTACGTTCGTAACAATCTGCATCAGCAGAGGTCACCCACTGTTGCTGTCCCCACTGCTGAAATGCAGCACCCATCACCTCACCGCGCTCACATCCACCACTTGGTTTCCATAAACATTCAGCAAGCATCAGTGCATGTCAGTAAGTGCCATTTGTTCTGCATGGAGGAATTCAATGACACATCTCTGCTTCATATGCACTCCCATGTCAGGCACCATTGTGTCACAGTGCCCTCTGCTGCCGTCTGTCACACAGCAACACATAACGAGATACTGGTGGGAAGGTTCAGCCTCTACTGCCGTCCCACTGATGTCCACCTCTGACAACATGGGCCAATATAACAGGAGGCATTACTTTCGGAGCGACCTTCATATGCAACATAGTTAATACATACAAGCAACAAAATTGAGTACAGCTTTAAGGCAGATTTCCCAGCAACACAGAAATGCCAGCTGGAAAGGTGCCTCCCACCTAAGGCACCAGGACGAGGAACGCAGAGCTAGAAGGTGCCAAACATCTTCATTAAAAGGAAAGTTTTGAACTAAATTAATTTACTGCCTCTGGGATTCTGGGAAAAAGTAAAAGGTGAGATGAGACTCCTCAGAAACAATACTGACTCTATGAAAACAAAATTATTATTGCCATTGCCACTCATGCTAGACATTACTGGTAACACCTTGGATGTGACACGGCTCCAAGTAACATGAGACCCAGCATGAGAAACTTCCTTTGGAAGCTGCTCATTTGCTAACTGCACCCAAAGCAGCCAGAACAAGGCTCAACAGCTGAAAAGGAAGTTAAACTCTACTAAGACACTAAAACACCTGGTATAAACCAGTACACAAAAATTCCTGGTGACGGGCACATCCAAACCATGCAATAGCCTGTCCTACTATATTGTATGTATCAACACTACTTTCTACACAGATAAAATCCAGCACATGAGTTTTGACCAGCATGCAAAGTTCTGATGATAACCCATTATCAGTCAAATCAAATTAAAGAAAATGCAAACAGATGCCTCACAGTCACTCTGCAAGTGAGACTTCTTCTGCATGAACCCCTCCAGCGCTGCAAAGCTGCCAATACGCTCCGGGCTCTGAGTAATGCTGTCCCCACGTGCAGACAATTCCAGACACATTGCAGCCACTCTTTACCCAGAGGCTCTTCCTGGAAACCTTGAAAGTGATAAACAATTACACAAAGCAATCTTTATTTTCAAATGCTGCACTGCATAAATTTTATCTGGTTAACAGTCCTATGCACAGACACAGATCCCTCTTCATCCTCCCCACTTCATTACTCAACAAAGCACAATCAAGCCAACTACACAAAAAATCACGTTGATCTGAAGAAAAACGCATTTGCAACTCATTACTCATTTCCTTACAAGTCAACAGCGCTTCCTTGGAGAAATCATCAAGAAAAAAAAAACCACTACTTCTGCATTCAAACGAGGAAGATTGGGCACGGCACAGCGCTGGTCCCATGCATGGCAGCTGCTGACATTTCCAGCATTCTTCATCTTCTCAACCTCAACAACTTTCAGCCTCTCTATCACAATATACTAAGTGCCATTCCTAGAAGGCATGAAAAAAAGAAGGCAAAGGTCCTCCAGATGATGTCTGGCCAAGAGATACCAACTAATTCTGCCATGTGTTCTTCTGAAATGAAAAGTGTTTTCTATCTTTTGTACACAACGTTTCCAAGAAGTCCTGAATTTCAACCTGTAGTCCAGATTTCTCTGCAGATGCAATCCAGCAGGAAGCTTCTGTAGATTTTTGAGTACTGTTGCCTTTCGTATTTGGAAGAAAAGAGGTATATGGTGGCTGGACATTACACTCATGCATTTCTGCTTGAGCTCCACAGAAAACAATGCCCAATTACAGCCAACCCTACAGCTGATTTATGTCCACAGACCTCATACTTTACGATCTGTATTTCCTCATGTGTGCAGCAATAGAAGCAGAAATCTCAGCACTCCTCTTATTCTGGCCATAATAGTCCACAAAGTCACCATCTGGCCCAAGCAGGTACATTATTATTGTGTG